GGATTGTAGTTTGTAACTATTAGCCGTTACAGGGTGTAACATTCTACGGCCAGCCTTTAGCAGGAGAGCAATTCGCGTGCACAGATGAGTAAAACCACTGACAAAATTGGCGTAATGTTAACCTTCCTTAAATTACCTTTACATTTCTCCGTTTTCTCGAATGTCGTGTTTCATCAAGTGTGAAACACTCAGCTGCACCTCGTGTTTAAAACTTCATAAAACACTCCTACTTGTTTATAAAACTATGCACAAGACAAAGTGTCTCACTTTGATTGTTTCCAAACGTGGTGCCATCATAGCTGGCCATATCAGAGCCAGTGGATTCACTGCGAGGCATCTGTGGCTTACTAATATCAATCACTTTCCAAGTTCTTCCCACAACCTCGTCTGGTGTCACGTCAGTACGAAAATAGATGTGGTCACCAAGAGTGCTAAGGGCAAACACCTGCAAAAGGGTTTAGGAGGCTTATGAGTTACGGGACTTAAAAAAAAGAAGGAACCCTCTTGACTACTTTATATTACTTTTTAGTGCCTTTCAACCTAATAACACACGGCTGAGTGTTTAGCTCCAATTTATTAGTTCAAAAAATGACCAAGAAATATTGGACGTATCAATAGATCGCGGACAAGGGAAAGCGGTTTAATAAAGCCCCATTTCGAGTTATATCAAGGGAAAAAAAATGAAACCTTAAAGTTTAGATAAGTGGCGTTATTTTTTACAAAAATAAAACGAATTTGAAATGATTTGCAAAGGTACGATGTTTATAAAATTGTTCCCGCGATGTGCAATTTTATCAAGTGTTTCTTGAGGCCCTCTTTTTGAAGCACGTTTTTCTTTGTTTCGTTTAGTTTTTAGTTTCAGAGCTGTCACTCAGGCCCTGAAAAGCGAACAAGTTTAATCAAACAGAACAAAGAATATTTTAGTTAATGAAAATCATCGAAACTGAAAAAAGACTTAAGTTTGCAAGTCGCTATTTGTCTCCTTGCTACCAATTCTACGGGTATAAACATAAACTGAAAAGCTCACATCCCTTTAAATTTGTTAATAACCGAAAAATGATCCTCATTTTCAACGACTACGAATTAAAGAACACCCAAAATCTGGCTTTACATAGTTGCGGTGGTTTTTGTTATTGTTGGTTTGCTTTTACTGTTTCGCTGGACTTTTAGTTTCAGAGCTCTCGACAGGCCTCAAACAGCTAATCATTTCTTTAAAAATGCACCATAATTGAAACCTTTTTCAACAAAGATTCCGATGTATGCTTTCTCAGATACGACGGATTTCATCATTTCTTTTTTTAAGATTCAATTTCAATTTCTACCTCGACGAAACTAAAATATTACTAACAAGCCTAACAGGCTCTTCTATATAAAGAAATAGTCGTACGACGTCTAAAAAAGCCTTCAGCATCATGTTGAGTATGTTGAGAAAATTCAGTTAAGACTTTACTTTTCAAAGTACTGTGAGAGGCATCCAGGTAAGTACAATCTATTTTTCTATTTATTCTGTGAAAGTTTTATTCAGATATATGTAGTTTTTCGTACATTGAGAGCGGGCGGAATTCTCCAAATCCTACAAACTGATTGGTTCCGGGAGCGGGCGTTTCTTCGAAAGGAATCGTTGGCGGCTTCATTCACATGACAGATGGAATCCACCAGGAAATTGAGAAACTTTAATTTTCAGAGGACAAAAACCTTGTACCAGAATAATTTCAAGAATATTGCATTCTTTTTTACATTTTTCAAGGGCTAAAGATGTAATTAGTATAGATAATTTTAATTTCGCGTCTTTGAGCACAACGATTTTCATTTCAAAGGCAATGTGATTTAACATACCTTTGAATTGATGAAATAAAACGACTTTATCGAAGAAACAATATCGTCAAAATTAAGAAAAACGTAACGGCGGGACTAAATGTCAACAGTAACAACAAAGTAGTTCTCACAATATCCGCCAGCAGTTCATGCCTGTGCGTGAATTATTGTTCTTGAGTCAACTGACCACAACATCCATTTACACTGAAAATTCCTCAGAAAAGTAAAAATATGATCGTAATAAACTCGTTCTTTCTTGACTATGGACAAATGCGAGTCACTTAATTTTTGCGTCATGTTGTGTTCCCAACAATTATTGTTCGCGTCACTTAAATTTCGCGATTTTTTTCTGTATCGCGAAATTCGCGAAAAATTCATGTTGTAAGGTAGCTAGAAACAAATGACTTTTATTATTCAGAAAAAATATGTGAAAAGAGAACCAAACAAATCACCCGTCAAAACCGCTCAAGTATTAACGCAAAACAGGGAAGAAGTTGTAGTTTTTCGAATTGATCTTCAAACTGCCTTTTACGCACTGTTGATTCAACATTTCTTGCTGTTTTTAGTCTTGTTTTCCATTTTTACTCCCTGAAACTAGATTTCGTAGTTTTCCATTAAATTTTGCCACGCGAGTTTTCTTCTCAAAAGCTTGTTGTCAGTGATTACATTTTTGCATGGCATAACAGTTTAAACAATACTGTTGACAAGTGCTTTTTAACGTAAAATTTAGCTTGTATAAACAGCGGACATTTCGAGACGCCACCACTGCTCTCCCAGCGTCATGCCGTCTAAGGAACGACCGCAGAAATTACCTACAGCTAACGCTCAAAACCGCGATCAGGCCCAATTTTAGCGAATTCTAATACATTCTCTCTTCCGTAATCCCGCTAAAATTGCGCCTGATACAAACTCTCACGTTTGTGCTTACTGGGGCCGATTTTGGCGGCAACGCTGATTGGCTGTTTGAACAATATGCCACAGGATCTGATTGACTGTTGGAATCAATGGAAGTTGAAAGCTATTATTCCTCGCGTGGTTGTTTTCGCCAATGATCCGCCGTGAGCGGAGAGAAGGATTTTGCTGTCTTTTTTATTGTTTTACGGTTTTCTGGTTGGAAAATATACCTTAATATGTGCCGGGGAAATTCAGAAAATTCAGATGTTGTCCATACCCTCTCAGGATTTGCTTAATAGGCCATTTCCGAGTCTCCCCGGGCCTCTGTTTCAAAACGAGGATACGTGCTCACCCTTTGATATGAAAATCATTTTTCAATCTCATGCAAATAAAACTCATTTTCACAAGAAAGGTTGTGCACCTAGCCTCATTTTGAAAATGTGGGTTTTTGGAACTCGGAAGAGGCCTACTTACGCAACTGTTGTGAGTGTGTCGCGGAGCCTAATCCCTCTGCAAGTTGTTGACCTCGAACGTCGAACAAAGTGCCTTTTGATTTACCAACAAACGACTGCAAGTCGAAATACTGTCCATCTTAGAACTGGTTTCATTTGAAAGTTTAGTCGGGAATGACTTCTCTGAACGGGGTACGCAAGCTGACGCTCACTGCCAAAGAAACCTTAACCGCCAACTGTGAAGTATTAGACGAAAAATATCGCATCGCTGTTCAAGGAATTTTCGTAGGCATTATTTAAAAGCCAGTGCTACTAGTCTTATAGTTGTAAGGTAACAGACTTGTTGTTTGCCTTCGCTTTTTGTAAAAAAGTAACCAGAAAAACTGTTGTCTTCGCTCGTTGGCTGTTTGCTGTTTGTTAATTTAGGTTATTAAATTTAGCGAGCTTTTCAGAACTGCATCAAACAACAACACAACAGAACTACAAAGTGTGTTTGTAATAGTTGTTTATCATTTTGCTTATAGCTTCGTTGCGCATGTAGTTTTAGTATTGTCGTTTCGTCTATCAAAAGTGGCAGATAGTATTAACCTGGATTTATAGAAAAATATATTTTCCTAGGCGGTTGTTTTTAGTACATTCGCCAATTGCAAGTGTACTCACAGGACTAAATTAAATGCACTTGAGAACTCGTTTGGTTTGTTCTGACTCATGAAGTGAAAATCGGGGAACGACAAGAAAAATAGAAATTTCATTATTTTAAAAATCGAGCACACCTAGCCAAAATATTAAAACTAGAACATCGTGTCGCCGTCTCTTCGAAAACGTTTTACCTTCTACGCCAGCAAAAATAACCTTCAAGATCTGCTTTAATCTCGCAAGAAGTTAAATGTGACTGTGCTGTTTTATTTTTAGTTGTAAAAAAAATAAAAGCTATTTTCTGCATTTTCCCACGTATGAAAAATTTGCATACTAAAAATCATGCAACGAAAGTAATTTTGGTTGGCAGATTCGGCAAACGTCAATCAATCAAAAAAGTGGGCGACAGACATTTCGTAGAAGGTTTGTATCAGGTTCTCTTTTCGTTTTGCCTTGCCCGCCGGAATGTTATTTACAAAGCGAGACAAAAAATAGTGCCTGATCTCAGGTTAGCTAACGCTTCACTACGCAGATCTGAGTGTTGCTTCTGATAAAAAATGAATAAATAAGACACCCTCTTCTATTTGGATGAAAAAAAAATTCAACCAATCAGAAGCACTTCCCAGATCTGGATGGTGACGCGTCATCAGTATGGAATTTCTGCGCTCGTTCCTCAGACGTCATTTGTTGGGGAAAACAGTTGCGGCGTTACGTTATGTCGGCTGTTTCTTAGAATACTTTTAAATATTTAGCTTTTTTTTTAAACAAAATGTTTCGTTTATCAGGTGAATGAGTGATTGAGAGTCCCAATATTTAACTCAAGCAAGCGGTTTATTTAAACTTCCGGCTTCACCTGCACCAATCGGCATTTTACTTAAAACAAGCTATAAAAGCCTTGCTGTATTTTTCTTTTTAAACGCTACGCAAACCCGCTTAAAGACGGAACTTTTTCTGAAGAACGATAAAGTTGGCCATTGATAATTATGTATCATTTTCAGCGACGTCTTTAAAAAAAGGATTCCATTTTTAAAATTTCATTCACGACACTTCTATAAAATAAATGATGATGATAAGGCGATCACGAAGGTATTTCGATCAAGTACTGATTTAATAAACTGTACATTATTTCTGTTTTTTTTTTCGTCTAGTCTACGTTCTTTATCTTTTTTTTTTTGTCTTTTTTTCAGCTCTTAAAATATTGTCATGTACAGCATAGAAGAGGTTATGTGGGCCATCAAGGTCACAGTTTTTGTTTCTTTGTACCTCCTTAACACAAATCGTGTTCATAAATCCATCGAGTTGTGCAAAGAACATTTACTTCTTCTCGGCCACAAAGCACTAAAATATGAAAAGGAGTTTGTTAGGCGCACTTCTTTAATGGTGTATGTACAGATGTCCAAAGCGTACCGTCTTATTGAGGATCACAGGAATGCAATCAAATGTGGCAAAAGGCTTCTCGCCATTTCAAGAGAGACTGGCAACAAAACATTAGAAGGAACAGTAATTTGTTTCATGGCGGAATCATATAAATGCCAACGTGAGTACGGTAAGGCAAAAGAGCTTTGCTTGAAAGCAATTAGCATTGGGATAGAGACTGGAGAAAAAGAAGTGGAAGTACGATGCTATGTAACCCTAGGAAGAATCTTTGTGTCTCTCGGTGAATATGTTAAGGCTAAAGAATGTCAAGAAAAAGCACTTGCAATCGCAGAAAACATTGGCGATAGAGAAATAGAAGCCAACTGCTACGGAAACCTGGGAATTACCCTTCAGTTTCTTGGTGAATATGTCAAGGCTAAAGAATATCAGGAGACAGCAATAGCAATCGCAGAAAAAATTGGCGATAGGGAAACAGAAGCCAAATGCTATGATATCCAAGGAGGTATCCTTCAGTCTCTTGGTGAACATGCCAAGGCTAAAGAATATCAAGAAAAGGCACTTGCGATTGCACAAACGATCGGCGACAAAGAAATAGAAGCTAAATGCTGTGTAAACCTAGGAAGTATCTTTCGGTCTCTCCATGAATATGACAAGGCTGAACAATGTCAAGAAAAAGCCCTTGCAATCGCACTAATAATTGGCAGCAAAGAAACACAAGCCAAATGCTATGCACACCTAGGAATTATCTCTCAGTGCCTCTGTGAATATTCCAGGGCCAATGAACGTCTCCAAAAAGCACTTGCGTTAGCAGAAAAAATTGGCGACAGGGAAACAGAAGCAGCATGCTATGAAAACCTAGGAAGAGTCTTTCAGTCCCTTGGTGAATTCGTAAAGGCTAAAGAATATCTCGAGAAACTACTTGCAATGGCAGAAAAAAATGGCGACAAAAAAACAGAGGCCGCATGTTACCTAAAACTAGGAAAAGTCTTTAATTTTCTCGGTGAAAATGTCAAGGCTCAAGAGTATCAAGAAAAAGCACTTACAATTGCAGAAAAAAATGCCACCAGGGAAACAGAAGCCGAATGCTATATAAACCTAGCATGTATATGTCATTCGACCTCTGAATATGACAAAGCTAAGGAATACCAAGAAAAGGCACTTGCGATCGCAAAAACATTTGGCGACAAGGAAACAGAAGCAAAATGCTTTGTTATCCAAGGAAACATATTTCAGTCACTCGTCGAATATGTCAAGGCTAAAACATTTCAAGAAAAGGCACTTTCAATCGCCGAAAAAACTGGCGACAGCCAAACAGTAGTTAACTGCTATGTGAACCTAGGATGTATCTACCCTTTTCTCGGGGAATATGATAGTGCTAAAGAATATCAAGAAAAAGCACTTGCAATCGCTAGAAAAATTGGAGACCGGGAGACAGAAGCGAAATGCTATGTAAACCGAGGAAGAGTCTTCGAGGGCCTCTGTGAATATAACAAGGCTAAAGAACATCAAGAAAAAGCACTTGCAATAGCAGAACAGATTGGCGACAGAGAAACAGAAGCCAAATGCTGTTTAAACCTAGGATGTATCTCTTGGTTTCTTGCTGAATATGACAAGGCCAAAAAGTACCTCAACAAAGCAATAGCGATAGGGGAAAAAATTGGCGACAGGGAAACAGAAGGCGAATGCTATGGAAACCTAGGAGTTGTCTTTCAGTCTCTCGGTGAATACGACCAGGCTAAAACATATCAAGAAAAAGCGCTTGCAATCGCAGAAAAAATTGGCACCACGAAAACAGAAGCCACATGCTATGTAAACCTAGGAAGTATCTCTCAGTCTCTCTGTGAATATGCAAAGGCCAAAGAATACCTTAGAAAAGCACGCTCAATCACTGAAAGAAGTGGCGACAGGGGAACAGAAGCCAAATGCTATGTAATCCTAGGAAGAGTCTTTCACTCTCTCGGTGAATATGTCAAGGCTAAAGAATATCAAGAAAAAGCATTACCGATGGCAGAAAAAATTGGCGACAGGGGAACAGAAGCCCAGTGCCATGTAAACCTAGGAATGGTATTTCATTCTCTCGGTGAATATGTTAAGGCTAAAGAATGTCAAGAAAAAGCACTTGCAATCGCTGAAAAAATTGGCCACAGGGAAACAGAAGCAAAAGGCTATGTAAGCCTAGGAAGAGTCTTCCATTGTCTCAGTGAATATGTCAAGGCTAGAGAATATTCTGAAAAAGCCCTCGCAATCGCACAAGAAATTGGCGACAGGAAAACAGAAGTCGTATGCTATGCTAACCTAGGAAAAGTCTTTGAGTCTCTCAACGAATATACTAAGGCTAAAGAATACCTGGAAAGAGCACTTACATTCGCGAACAAAGTTGGTGACAGAAAAACAGAAGCCATATGCTACGGAGACCTAGGAGTAATCTTTCAAACTCGTGGAGAATTTGGCCAGGCTAAAGAATATTTAGAAAAAGCAATTGAAATCTCCGAAAAAATCGGCGACAGGAAAACAGAAGCAAAATGGTATGGACTTCTAGCACTTCAGTTTTGCAGAGAACATGTCGTCAAGACTAAAGACTATTTAGAAAGAGCACTCGCAATATATAAAGACATTGGGGAGATAGAAGGAGAGTTAATAACCCACTTGACTATTTCATATTGCACGATAAACGACAACACACATGAAGCTAAATCACATTTCTTTGCAAGCATCAACAACAGAGAAGTTATTCGCCGTTTTCTGAAAGATCAGGACCAATTCAAGATATCGTATTTTGACAAGACCAGTAGTTACTATGGACTTATGGGTCAGTTGCTTTGCCTTACTGGGAATCCTTACGAAGGTCTTTACACAGAGGAAATTGGACGAGGCAGAGCCCTAGCAGACTTGATGTCAGCCCAATACTCCACACAAAACGAAATATCAGTCTGTCCACAGGCATGGGATGGTATTCAGAGAATCATGAAGAAAGAAAACAACTGTGTTTGTCTATACATTTCATACTATGAGGACTATATTAATTTGTTTGTTGTTAAAGCAGACCACCAATTAATTTTGCGACACAAAAACGTCAATGACTGTTTCGCTGGCGAACGATCAGCAAGCACAGTGGCTGACGTTTTTACCAGCGAGATTTACAGAAAGGTACAGTGCTTAGCTCCGGAGCAATGCGAAGATCGATCCTGGTTTCCTTCAAATGATCTCTCACACCAAAAGCGCAAGTCATCTCAAGAAAATAGTCTCACAGTTTCCCGCCTTGTAGAAGAGGATGAAGACGACCAGCAGCACATCCTTACTTTTGCCGATGTTTACAAAATGATCATCGCTCCTGTAGCTGAACTGCTTGATAAACGCGAAATCATCATTGTTCCTGATCGCTTGCTTTTCACAGTTCCATTTGCAGCGTTAAAGGACGAAAAAGGAAAGTATTTATCCGAGTCTTTCAGGATTCGCATCATTCCCTCTTTGACAACTCTCAAGATGATTCAGGACAGTCCAGCAGACTATCACAGCCAGACTGGTGCACTGATAGTAGGGGACCCTGATGTTGGTGAGGTGCTTTACAAGGGAAATCTTCACCAAGTATCGAGGCTGCCTTTTGCAGGCGACGAAGTAGAGATGATTGAAAAACATCTCGGCATTCAACCTCTGCTAGGAAAGCAGGCAACAAAGAAGGCGGTCCTTCAAAACATAAATTCAGTATCTCTGATACATTTAGCTTGTCACGGCGATGCCGAAAGGGGAGAAATTGTTCTTGCCCCTCCACCTCTTACTGATAGGAAACCTCAAGAAGAAGACTACTTATTGACAATGGCTGACATTTCACAAGTTAGACTGCGAGCCAAACTGGTAGTCCTTAGCTGTTGTCACAGTGCAAAAGGACAGATCCGGACGGAGGGAGTGGTTGGAATTGCTCGAGCATTTTTGGGATCCGGTGCACGGTCAGTGTTGGTGGCACTGTGGGCCATAGACGACGAAGCGACAATGCAGTTTATGAGTCGTTTCTACGAGCACCTTGTTCATGGGGAAAGTGCCAGCGAATCTCTTCACCAAGCCATGAAGTGGATGAGAGAAAACGGCTTCTCTGACGTTGCACAATGGGCTCCTTTTATGCTGATTGGAGATAACGTGACATTGGATTTTCAAACGTTAAGGTTAGTAGACATTTATTGACATCCCTAGGTTGGACTTGAAGATGGTCCAGTCCCGGTTCAGTTGATTAACTGTGGTGCTGGGTCATGCTCAGTCAGAAGTAAAATTTGATTTTATCATTTCAACTGCACTAGCCCTTGGTTGCTTTCAACTCCGTAGACAAAACACATTTTTGCGCTTAAATAAAAAGAGGTTCCCTTAGAGGAGAAGCTTGTACTTTATTTATTCAATTTTTTTTTGGTTGGCACATGAAGCCATTATCACAACCACAGAGTTGCTCTTGTAGTCGGCAATAATTAGTTAATGTTCATGGCTGGACGTTTATCATTCTTCAGTACATGTCTGCAGGTATGACAAAGTTTCTATAGGGCCTCATTTGACGAGGACATTATTTCAAATTGCACACTACTGACTAGGGCAAAAATGCTGACTTAATTAAAATGCGTATAAAAGACTGATTAACTGTACCCAATTTGGAATTTGGGATGCTAAGTCTCAAAGTAGTCATGTCTATCAGTGAATATTTAGCCGTAATATTGAGTTGTTAAGAAAGGAGAGAGATTTTCTTAAGAGGTGGAGGGCGTGTTCGGATGAGAAAATTCAGGAATGCCATTGTTTATCATTATTACTTTTATTTTTCAGAGCAGGAAGTCACGAAACTCAGTCCCGAAACGCAGCCCCATTTTCGGCGAGTGACCAAGTCCAAGAAGTGACTGGTGAATGCAAACGTTTCTCCCTACAAGGCGGCGATCGATAAATTGAACATTAAACCACGTGATAAGTAAATCAAGCGATAACTCAAAGACAATTCTAAACAACAAGATCGCATAATGTACATATAAAATGTATATATCAGTGTAAGCACAGTTGAACACGGTTCTAACATTTTAAACTTAAAAAAGAAATTGTTTATCGAAGAACATTAAGTGCTCAAACAAAGCGCCGCCTAGTCATACTTACCATTTTTAGCAAGGAAATGTTAAGTGTGAAATAAATTAATGACTTTAAATTTTTCTAATAACTTTTTAATAGGCAACTTTCGATATATTCAGTCTTAGAGGACACAAACAAAGAAAATGAATAAACCATGACTATTCATGTTTATTCATTTTCTTTGTTTGTGTCCTCTAAGACTCGCTATCATGCTGAATTTTAATATACTGAAAGCTGCCTATTGCAAATCAGTTTTTGAATAAGACAAGTAGGAGACGCCTCAGCGGGCTCATGCCAGTAGTCCCCCTTAAAAATTTCAAGTAAGTCCCCTTTAATTGACGTTAAATAATTTCAAGTAATTGCCAGTCAGATTGTCTGCAAAAGATGGTTTGAAGTATTACTAATCGAAAGATTGGAAGAGAGACTGTTTGAGAGTGTTAAAGGCTCAAAACGCTTTTGCTCATTTATTAAACTAAAATTTATTTTAGAAAGTTGAGAAAGGTTAGAGACAATAAAAATAAACTTTCAAAGAATGGGAAAACAACACATGACAACACTTCTTTCAGTTCCTGCTCCTCCAAATAAAATAGCGAAGATAACGAAGAAAAATGATAGGTTTAATAAGCAGAACAACAACTCTGCTCATGCATCACACTTTTTTTTACTACCTTACCGTCACAACACCGCTAACGAGCGAAATTTCTTTACTTAACGTCTCATAGAGAAAACACCAAATATAACTGACGATTTTTTTTTTCTAAACATGTGTGAGGCCACCGGAAATTCAACTACGAAACATTTCACCTATAAATGGCAGTTTCAGCGAGTCGAAATAATCGCGATTGGAGAATCGGCCGGTGTAAAACGCAGATTGTGGACTGTGGACTGCAGACTGCGGACCACGGATAAAACGCTGACTGAGTGTAAAATGCAGACTGCAGACTGAGAGTAAAACGCAGGCTGGGTGCAAAATGCAGAATGAGGACTGCTGACTGGGGTAAAATGTAGACCGAGCATAAACTGTAGTCGCGGAAGAGTTTAAGGGCAAAAAAATCCCGAAAATGCATGTAAACGATCACTTACTTGACATCTGCTTTCACAAATCCATTCAACGTCGTCGACGACCCGCAAACACAATCGTAATCTTGGAACCTTCTCTCCGTTCTAGAGACCTCACGCTCCAAGTTTTCGATACACGAGACCGTGAATTGGTACAACACCACGATGTTTACACTTAAATAAAAGCTGCTGACCCAGAATACTGTACAGAAAGAATAACGGCGATCAAAAAGGGAGTAAATCATTCCAACGACAAAGAAAGATGTTCTGCTGGATAACCGTCTATAAAAAAAAAAGCAAATCAAGGTCCGCACACTTTAGCTGTTCGGATGTTAAATAATACTTCTGGCGAATGTGCCAGCTAGCTATTTGGAGAAGAAGGAGCACAAATGTTTAAAACTTCTGCAGTCTGCAATTTACACGCAGTCTGCATCTTACCCCTGGTCCACAGTCTACAGTCCGCAGTCCGTAGTCTTCGTCTTGCACTGACTGATTGGAGAATACCAAAATTTATATTAATAGAGGGGAGTTTAAGCAACCACGACGGCGACGGCAATGAGGAAAGCAATCGGTTTAATAAGGTGCGGTCACACTAGCAGTTTTACCCACAGGCAAATGGCTCTTACCCACGGGGAAGCAATTTTTTGTGTGACCGAATTCCCTATGGAAAAATTGCCTCGGGGAAATTGGAACGAAAGAATTACCCATGACAGTTCTCGACGTTGGTTCTATGGGTTAATAGGAAACCAAAGCATTTGATCATATTTACATGTATTTTGCGCAATATAAATATTAAATTATTATTATTATTATTATTATTACTATTATTATTATTATTATTATTAT